CAACAATACGAAAAAAAACGAACCACCTAAAAAATCGAAATGGAAAGTGGACTGAGAACGAGGTTGGGAGCATGAAGGGCCGATGAGATGAGGGCGAGATTGGTTTTGTCATGGCAAAACTCCCTTCAACTTCCACCACGGCATGCGAACATGATGTCCACGACCATTCACTTGTTAAGAGGAAAAAATGAAAACAACCAATAAGAGAGTTTAAAAAAAAAAAACGCCAGCACCAAAAATCGACTCAACGAGGCGCACATTAGAGGGGAGGTGCGAGGGGCACCAGCGACCGTAATCAGGGCGCAAGCCCTCGCGCCGCGCGTCCGGCAAGGGCGCCTATTCAGCAGGGGTCTCGGTGACGCTTTGTTGAGGGGATACTAAACCGTGCCCAGAAGGGCGGCATCATACATACCTCCTCGGTAGGGGTGATGAGGTTCACGACACAAAACGCCGACAGGTGTCGTCTCATAACAAGATAACAAGGTGGGTGGACCAAATCTCCGACCAAAGTCCAGCGCGCTCCGGCAAGGGTGGCAGTCGGAGACACTTGCTGGCCACGCATCGGACATCGGAATTTTTTGGACCGCCAACGCAGGATTATAAGAGTACCTAGAAATAGAATAGGGAGGGGGCACGCAGACCCTATCCCTAACGCTAACCCCAAAGCACGGATTGAATACTTTATCCCACATGTTTGCTAAATCAATTTTACTCCGTAGACTACTGGATGTTTTCGTTTCATGTCTACTGTATGTCCTTGAAAATGTATACATTTTTATCCACCGCAACTGCTGTCTCTCTCTCTCTCTCGTGGATCGATCGGCATGAAGAGTGTGGTGTTGTTTCTTCAGGTCGGCCGGACCGATGACGGTTTGGGTGAGTTGCGAACCGGAAGGAAAAAGATGAACAACAACAAGAGAAGGGCGGGGACTCACCGGCATTCTCGCTCGACGATGACGTCGATGGCGACCTTCGCCTTGTCCTTGGTCTTCTTTTTCTTGGCCTTCTTTGCCTTGCCCCCCCCAACCGCCCCGCCCCCCCCCGCCGCCGCCGCCGCCGCCCCCTCTCCTCTCTTCTTGCCCTTCCCGTTCAGCCTCCTCCCGCTGCCATCGCCACGCTCTCCCGCCGCCGAACCTCCTTTCTCTTCCTCCTCTTCTTCGTTGTCTCGGCCACCGCCGCCGCTGCTCCTCTTGGCATTGCGCCCGGCCGGAGAAGCTGGCTCTTCCTCCTCCTCCTCCTCCTCCTCCTCCTCCTCCTCCTCCTCCTTTTCTCCCTCCAAGCCACTAGCTTCGTCGTCATCGTTTGAATCTTCTTCTTCTCTCTCGCTCTCGGAATCAGACTCGCGCTCGTCGGCGCCGGCAAAAAAAAGCCCACCGTATGTGTGCTCACGGACTTGCGTACATGGCGGAAATTTAGAGATTGAGCCCAACCACCAGTTGTACGAAGGGCGGGGAAAGGGGTTGTCAATATCCACACGAGAATAAAAATAGCGAGGGAGTTGAATCGGGAAGTGCACGAGCACATAGCTAGCCGGCCGGCAGACAAATTCCACCGATTGTCTTGTAGTGCGAAGGTTCCGTTAGTCAGGGTTTCACCCGCGCCGAAGAAATTGTATTAAAGAAAATAGATATACATACGGCTGAAGAACTTGGCAGTAAAAAAAGAAAGAATTAATTTGCCTCGAAAAACTCAACATCTGCGTAAGAACTTGAACACCATGTGACCTATTGTAGGCTATGAACCCTTGTACTCAAACCTATATATAGATAGCGGCCATTCGTAGCATAACCCTTTGTAGGAACTACTGCTGTACAGCAAGAAACCCGCACGGCCAAACTTAATAAAGAAAAAATAAGTACACACACAGAAAGACTACCCATTCGAGATATACATTCTCAAGTGCGGGCGGTTCTCCGTTATGCCCGTGGGAGGCGTTTTCGGGTCTCCCTACTTCTCGTCTGCTTCGGCTACTCCTTTTCCGGTACATGTACCCCCATCAAGACAGTCAACAAGTCTATGTTTTGTTCTCCGACGCAGCAGTGCTGCTAGGCCAAAGGCTGCACACACTTCCACGGCAACTGCTGCCATCATCCTGGCCAATCCCCCTCCTGACGTCCCTGACACGACCGTAGCGTGCCGGCGACGTCGTCGGATACATATGGTAGTCTGAACACCGACGAAACAATTTTGTATGTGTTGCTATCGCACACCTGCAGGAACGAAATAACACCGGAGGAGCCACTCCAAACGCTCATTCTAGACAGCCCAATTGCGTCATTCTGCTGTAGTGCGAGGGCTGCACCCTCGGTCGTCAGTAAAACACGGCTTTGAGGTACGTGGTGTTTTTGGCTTGAACCGTTGCATACCGCCGTGTGCCGCTCTCTTGTTGCAGCACACCTCATGCGCGAGGACCGGGATGAGCAGCAACAGGACAACCTGAGCAAACGCTCTACCTAAACCCAGGAAACCATCTGAACGTATGGTATCTGCTGTCATACAGCAGCAGCATCTAGTTGAGCCTTTGTGACAATAGCAGCACGCGTGTTTGGCTCAGCGGAGAGCAGGCGGAGAGTCGGGAAACAGACATGATATTGTCCCATTTAGCCCGCAACGTTGCAGTCGCACGCACGCCCTATCAACCCTGGTACATAAATAAGCTGCTGCCGCACGTTGTACTCTCTGACCCGCATCTCGAAACTTGCCCACCAAGGGAGTGGATCTTGGCAAGCTCACCCCTCTATTCCCAGCTCGTTGTGTCGCTCTCGCTACAAGTACGGTGTGTGCCTAAGAGTCAAGTTGGTTAACGTCCTTCGAACACAGGGCAGCAAAATGCGGATCTGGTTCCGACTAACCGATGATGCTGTGGGTACAACAGCGTGTGTCAGTCTCGCAAATGTACACGAACTCACTCAGTTGATCCATCAGTGCCACGTCCATCGTCTCCGGGACAGTGGAAACGTGGGAGCTTCCAGGGAACCAGCTGTTCGCCTCAGCAGCACGGTATTTGAGGGTTGACTCCAGGCTTGGATAAGGAGGAGAAAATCTGATATCGAATTTTGCGCGAAGGGGTTTCCACTACAGCACGAAAGGATGCTGAGGCACCGGGGAGCGGGGACTCTTGCCCATCAGCCTAACCCCGCCAGAGAGAGGAGTTCTGCGTGCGGTCCCGCCAAATATTTTGTCTGTCGTGATCTGTAAGTAAGTGGACAACTTCACACAGGACAAAACCCTGGAGATAAACTTTAGTCCACATTGGATCATTGTGGAACAGGCACTCTCGACCTTCTTGGTCCACAAAGGGCCCTGTACAGAGTACGGCGGTTACAGATTGTGAAGCTCCAAAATAACACAAAGAAAGGGCGCAGGGTACGGCGTACACATTTTTTGTTACGCTCCAAAATACGGTAATATCTTGGAGTATTTGTACTGTCACGGCTCTGAGCTGGATCATGCATGGACATGATTCAGGATTGGGGAGAACGCAAGCGGCCGGCATACCACAGGGTATGCACCCAGATCCGTTGCACCCCACCACCACCACCACCACCACCCCAGATCTCCATGGATTGATTGAGTGCACCACAGCAGACAAAAACTAGAGGACAGAAGTAAGACAAAGACGCCGCTCTGCAGGTTGGGCCTCTCCAAGCACCCTCGAGTCCACCCAAGGCAACACTGTGCACCAGGCCGCTGTACGCGGCTACGAAGCGGCAGCGCGGAGGCTAATGAGCGGTGAAGCCGACATTCATCGGTTCGACCCAGGGATATCAGCGTGTCTCAGTCCCCGTCGCCCCTCAAGGAGGAGACACGGCGATCTGGTAGGGGACGTTGTGATCGGCGGAGTTGTCCCGATTCGTGCACCAGGTTCGGCCGTGTACATGTACTCCGCTACATTTTGCTTCTGCATGTGGCAACAACCGCGTTGTGTCGGCGAACCTTCTCGGCAACACCAGCACCGACTTAGACGCTCTCGATAACGGTGGTTTTTTCACCCCTGATGCTAATAGCGCCAACAAACAACCGGCCATCGTCCTACAGTCAAGGCTCCTCTTCTGCGAGCTGGTGATGCCAACACCATCCCACCGCATTCCACCCGTCAGACAGGTCATCCACCGCGGGCGGTGGCGTTCGATTTGGGGGCAGCAAAAGGACACGTTAGGTGGGTTAGCGCACTTACTCGTACAATGTCTGCCCCCACACAACCACACTGCTTTGCACCACGCCGCTCGACACAATAGCGCGCGAGGGGGGAGCAGACGTGCTTCTCGATGCTGGAACCGATGTCAATTCCAAAGCTAAACGCGGAATGAGGCCTCTCCACGTTTGCCCAGTCTACAGAAGTGACGATTCCAGTGTAGCTCTTTGGAGGCGGGCAACGTCCATGATCGAGCACTGGTCAGATGTCGGCATTGCACTGGGCATGTCGCCCGCTGGGGCCTGATGTGGACAGAACTGTTGATTGACCTCTTTTTGAGATGGGGAGCGTCGGAAACTGCCCTCGATCTGGGTGGTGGCACACTCCACGACTGCTGCACCTTCAACCCACTTGCACAGCGCGGAGGCAAGGGTGCAACGCGCCGGACCTCGGTGGGAGAAAGGCGCAACGCGCTCGATCGAGTGCCACTGGCGCGTGCTCCGACGGATGAGACGTGGCGGCGGTGTTGTGCTGGCTGGTGATGCTTCAAGCGAGGATGGGGCAGGAAGAGTGAAGCGCGCTCCAGCCGAGGATGTAGTTCCAGCGACCAGACCGAGGCGACCAGTCGAAAGCTGCAGAATCACGAGGAGGATGACGGTCGCAAAAAAGTGGGGAAAACCGGTACGCCTATGGATGAAGAAATGGGTGGCGCCGGCAGGGCCGGGTGAGGCAAGGCGGCTGGCGAAGGGGAATTGGGGGGCTTGGTCCCGGCTCTCCTGGGCCTGGAATCGGCGGCAGGTGAGCTGACGTTAGCATCCAGTCTCTGTGTTAACACAGTCTTCTCGTTTCATTCTGCTTGTATGATGGAGTTACCCAAAGCGCATGTCTCTCGTCCGTTACCTGTCGATCATCATTGAAGTTGTCACGCTTTGATCCAAATGCGGCATCATGAAATTCAGCGATGGCTTTGGACCAAAAGGTGAAAAACTCAAGAAGAGCTCTTGAGACGACATCGTTGGCGTGTGAAGTCTGGCGAGCCCGGTATGTTGCGTTCGCTTACGCAGTAATCACCTGCTCGATAGGGCCCTGTTTCTGCAAGTGTTGCGATTTCTTAATGCTTACCCGCGTTTGTTCTCCCAAGGGTCCGATTGCATGTTCAGAAAGATTCCCCGCCGTGGAGCCACAACGCCTTGAAACGTCAGAACCGATTCCGGTCGTGCCAAACGTTTCCCTCAGCTTTTCTTCAGCAGTTTTCCTTATCCGCCCACGCTACCGCAGCTGCTCCAAGAAGAGTCCTGTTTCCTACACATTAGCTCGAACTTCACACGATGGTCGTACAGTAGTACTCCCCCAATACCCCACCCCACATAGTGCAATCAAGTCGTATGCATACCCGCATCACCAGTACAGTATCGTGTGGTGTCTCGTCTTCGACGGGCGATTCTCGCGCAGTAGTCTAGATACTTCTAGAAAGAAAATCGATGTCGCCTTCAGGGAGCATACTGTACAAGGACAGGTAAGCTCAGCGCAATGATTAACAATTAAGTGCCAGGCAATGACTGCACGCACGTCACTGTTAGAAAGAGACAAATATTGTTTGCGAAACACAACCCGCGAGCCAACCACGACCGGCCGCCGACCACGTGCGACAAGGTCACACAAACAATCCTCGTTCAGGGCAAGGCATACACAATCAGGTAGGAGGGAATAGCAGCTTCGTCCTCGTATGCCACCAGCTCGTCATGAATTAGTCCGCTTCCCACCTGATGGGTTGGGAAGGGAAAACCACAGAAGAAAGTGCGGCCTTGTCAGATGGGACATTTTTCGCGAGGGTTGATTGTCGTACGATCCCTCGGCGCCGAACGTGCCGTTGTCTCCAAATATGCATAGGACTGGTCTTAAGAATCTGAACCATTGAGATGTGCAGTACATGGCGACGGTGACAAAGAAGATGCTGGTTCACGGGCACTAAAAGCGAAAGGTCTAGCATGCGCCCCCGTAACAAGAAGTAGTCCCTGCCTTCCTATCTCTCACGCTGCTACACAAAGCGAGTCGAGACTGGGCATCACTCACGCGGTAGGCTGATCAATGAGTCGAATTATCCTGCTGAATACACGCACACAAGGCTCCTTCCTGTGGTAACTCTTGCTGGTGCACTTGAGAACAGGCTTCAGGTTGCTCTCTCCGCGATGGTGCGGCTCTATGTACGCGATTTCATGTTTTCCTAGAGTCATCGGGACCATCAACAGAGAGAGTGTGTGCGACTCTCACCTCCCCCACTACCGAGTCATATCCGGCGGGGGGGCACATGTCTTGCCCGAGGGACCCTTGCTGGGTCAGGTAGGCGTTGCCAGCCGTGACGTTGGCGACGAACATGCACCTCACTTTTTTTCCGTCGCTGCCAACCTGTGAGTCGCCCAACGATGATTGGTGTGAGGCGATGACACCGCGACGCGGCGGAGGGGGGAAGATCATCAGTCTGATGCGTGAGTCAGCCTGCAATCTTTCGGGACGAAGTGAGGTACATGGAAGCAGGCGCTTTTGGTGCTCTGCAAACGTCAAGAAGATTGACCGTTTGCAACATTTTGAGAGCCAGAGGTGTTGACTCTCATGTTGATGTCGACTAGCCCTTAGCAACAACAACCATTCTCTCACTTTCTCGGACTGCTGGGCGTAGTCATTAGACTTGCCAGACACGCTGCTGAAGTAGAGGCCCTCCCCGTAGCGCCGGCGGTAGTTTGCCCTCCTCGCCGTCCCGCGGACATTGTCTCGCAGCACGAAGCCGTGGGTGCAGATGTTGCACACGTTGCAAGCCTTGCTGCTGCAGGGATTACCCTGCGAAGTGTGCCCCGACAAACAAAGGTACTAGAGCTGTGCACACAGAAGGAAGGCACAAGAGACAAAAAAAAACTGCATATGCGTTGTACACTGTCAAACAACCCTGTGAGACAATTCCGCAACGCAGTGATGCTATCAAGTCTTTGAGAGGAGGAATGGCAATACGATGACAAGCGGACGAAGACACTTTGGCATCGGAACATGATGATGCCGAGTGAAAGGACAAGCTGTCTTCGCTGCAGCAGCTGTGGCCGGTGGCTGATGCGTTTTGCACGGAGGAATCACGTTCAGGGTCATGGTTGCTCACTTTTAAGTCGACGAAGAAATTGCACTGTGCAGAGCACGAGGTGCCGTGAAAGCGACGCCGAACATTGCCCTTGGCCTTCTTGTAGCAGACAGTCTTTTGATAGATGTCGTCTGGTACCTGCAGTGTGAATGCGACGGTCTGTTCTCCGTTTGTTTATCGGGCATTGAGCAACCAACCGTGATGGATTTATGAACTCTCCCGAATAAACATTAGGCTGAAAAAAACACGAGTGGGGTCGTCAATGTTCCTTCTGCCTGATCGCCTTCGTCGCATGCGTGGGAGGACACCGGGATGAATGAGGTATCAACATCGGATCAGTCAGATAATATTTACACAGTAGAGGCCACCCAGGATGATCAATACCGTGGTTGTGATGGTGCTCTGCAGTGGGTACATTCGTTGATGACCCTAGTCAGAGAGCGTGTAATCTTCATCGCGAGCACTACTGTAGCCGCAGCCTCACTTACTGAATTGCTGGGAGCATGCCCTAGGATTCTCTGAAGGCTTCATTAAGACCAAAATTCTAAAGGTTGGACCTCCCCAACCCTGAACTCGGCTTCGCTTGCTGTCCTACGAAAGATATCAAGTCTACAAACAATCAACTGCTGTGCGGAAAGGCAGAGAGTGCATTAAAGACACGTTGAAAACTTAAACGTATGCTGTTTCCCATCCTTCTCGCTCGCAAACTCACCTTCACTTCCAAAATCCTCAGGACACGAGGCACACCAGGCTTGAGCCACTTGCTGACAAATTGATGGCAGAGCGACGGGTACTGAGGATGGGCTTTCGAAAGAGCACTCAGCACGAAGTCGGTAGCGCCGGTGGTTCCACCCCGGAAGGTCTGCTCGACGTGGGACTGCGTTCCCGCCATTCCCTTTCCCAGGGCACTAGCGTGTGCCTTGTGACGTTTGGTGGAGACGTCAGACTCCTTGGGGTGTCGCCAAAAAGAGGATGAGCCCATGCGGCGGCGGGGGGAGCGTGCTCATGTAAACGCATGCTCTAGTCGGGTTTTCGGGGGTCTCAGGCTACGTTTCACAAGAACGAACCAACCGCTGGTCATCATCCTTGCTATGCCAAACCAGATATGCCATGGTGTAATTGGGCATATCCCGGCTACCCAAACCTTTCGAATTCGGCAGGCACCACCTACTACAAGGGACTTCGAATACGGTGGGGGGCGCAGGGGGACTTCAGCAAATGCTCACAAGACATGTTTTGGGTCTCCGCCTGCGCACATACATATGGCACGGGCACACATACACAATGCCCATGCACTTAATAGAACGGCTGGTTTCGGGTAAGGAGACGACCCAATGACGTACTCTCCATGCGAAAGTGCGCACTCCGACATGTTTTCTTCGATCCGGCCGCCAACCACGCCGCTCACGTGAAACGCAGCAACAGCAGTACCGGCATGATACAAAGAGCTCTTCAAAGAGCACCATGTTAGTCGGCACTTACGAGACTGGTGGCGGGATCATGAGAACCGTTCTGAGAACAGCTCGCTCGCTGGCGCTTGGAAGCCCCCATGCCATCACCCGAGTGTATCGACTGCCCTTTGGCACGAGCCTCGTTGGCGTGACTCTTCGAGCAGAAGTCGTGCATCAAATTCTTGGCTGAATCAAAGAAACATGGTCTCGAGCACCCATGCAGCTTGCGAGCGGAAAAAACAAGCAGAACAAACAACGCGCATATAGCGCATTACGATGTTAAATATATCAGGGGGGTGGCGTTGATATTGAACCATAGAAAGAGGCTTGTCGAAACATGTTTGCACTACTCTATGCACACTCTTCTTGTAGTCAACGAAACTATCAGGGGTAGAATCACATTGCGGTCGTGAGGATCTTTAAGCAGCCCTAGAAACGTTGTGCTTCTCTACGATGACCGTTGATCAGTGGCAGGCGTTCAGGAGGCTTCGGGAAACTTTTATGCACTACACGGAAGCCAACTCATCAATATATACTGACTATACCAGTTGCTCGATGAAAGAGACCTCAGCCGACATCTTGCTTTATTCTGGTCGTGCCAATGTGAAAACTGGAAGGCGGTCGTCTCTATTCTACGCGTTCTCAGTCGGTAGAACGTTGTTTGGAATCAGGTTCATTCAACCAACGGAAGATTTAGGTTGGGCTTGGCGTCTTCGCGAATCAGTGAGACCCCCATGGAACGTAGCGCTTACTTGGCGCCATGTCTTCACAGCGCTTTCGGGGCACGGAACGAAAACCGCCGCTCAACCTTGCAGTCAGAAAGCTGCAACCGGTGTATAGCAGACTCCCACGGCAGGATGGGACCAGAGTCCCCACTGGTCTTTGTGTGTATGTTCGCAACCGCAATATCGACTGCCGACAGGGTAACATTGCACCCAGCAGCAGCGACGAGGAGAGTGTCACACAACCGTTTCGAGTAAGGACCAACCAAGACATCCGAGTTGTTGGTGTTTCCTTTGTCTTCATGTTCGTGATCCTGCAAAACCACCTAAAATAACGTGGATGCTGCCCTGGCACATCCCTGCATCTATTCTTCTTCGAAGCATCTTGACGGCATACTGCAGCCTTCGCATATATATATCGCTGAAACAACGGCGTCATTATCAATTGCCTTCAGACAACGAACACATCGATTGCACGACGATAGTCCGTTATTAAGTATCCTCGTCCTATCTGAGCGGCGAACCTGTACAGTTGTTTCTTTGCCGCCAGCGACGACACCTCTGCTGTGGGGCTTCCTTTCCTTCAACAGCATATTCGGTATTCAACGACGCCACGTCACACAGACCGTTCGAGCACATCGACTTTTGGAATTTATCAACTTGTTCACAGATGTTATCCCCATGAACCGTATTCACCGCGACTACACGCAACGTGCTCAACGGGGGGGGGATATACACCGAAGGAATTGCGTTGGTAGACAAAGGGTGACAGGGTCGCAAGCATGAGACCCTCCTCTGCGTACAAGAAGAATGTGACTTGTTTTCGCGTGCTTCTCGCCCTCGTACCCCTATCAGTTCCGGTACATGAAAAATCCAGGTCTGTCCTCGGCGCTCTACAACACGTTTCGTTCTCATACAACAGTTACCGCTACCAAATGCTTGCTCTTACTGTTAACACGCCCAAGTCGTTCCCGTGGCTTCTCGTTGCCGCGGATAACATTACCGCCAGAACTACAGACTCCCGTGATACGTCGCTTCCCAGCGTGCCTCAGTAGCCCGGGGTTGATGCACGTTGCGTCTGTGCCAAAGGCAATTTCAACTCCAAATCATGTTATACTTTTTCTTCCAATGAACTTGATTTGAAAGCTTCGATTTGCTTTTTTTTCGTTGCGCTGGGGATTTTTGCTTTGGCGACGAGATCTCTTTGGCCGGGGGAGGCCGTGACTTCAGATTTTCGCGCTCTCCCACTGATTGCCTGTACCATCTCCTGGTCAAGGGATTGACATTGCTGAGTGTACCTCTGGACACGCGTCACCGTTGTGAGACAAACTCGTAGCATGGCAAGTACATTACTGTAGGTGGGTTCAACATTATCTCCCACACTATTGACAGTTTTGTTAAACCGCCCGTGGGCCACCCATGGGTCGTCCATGGGCACTTGAACCTAGAACTTCGCCACCGGCGTATCAACCTAGAACTTCCCCACCGGCATATCAACCTAGAACTTAGCCACTGGCATATCAATCCAGCACGTATCGTGTGGGGTTGGGGCTAGGGTTACGGTTAACGTTAGGGTTATTATTAGCCGCTATAGTGCCCGTCCCAAAGCAGTTATTCTATTGTTAAGGAGTATACTGGTTTGATTCAAGGGCTCTCATTGGCCGCCCATGGGCCGCCCATGGGCTGTCCGCGGACTGCCCATGAGCACGCTCATGGGCATGCCCATGGGCCTAACAGGGTGCCCATGGGCGGCCCATGGGTCACCCATGGGTCACCCATGGGAGTCCCATAGGTCGTTTGAGAAACTGTAGAAAGTGTAGGAGACGTTGAACACGGGGCGGGGCAAGCATTGATTCGTTGACCGGAAAAAAAAATAGAGAGTGGCCACTTTCTCTCATTTATAAAGGCAAGAATGTCACCGTCAGCAGCAAGTGTCCACTAGTGTAGTGATATAGTGATATGGCAATGAGACGAAGCAGCAGCGCGGACGATCCGGATTCAAGATTGCATGATGCTCCACTTATCTAGTAACAGGAACACAATATTGTCTTGAATTGATACCCTCGAAACTGCCCGATTTGTTTTGCTGCAATCACTAGACTTTCACCCGCTACACGCGCTGTTCGATGGAAGAGGAGACCGCAGCCTCTTCTTCGTTTCGCTCGTACCAACACTGAACTGGTCGAAATTTGTTTGTATTGTATGGCGTTTGAAATAAGTTCAATCAATCGATCAGCCAACAGCAGTGCGCCAGTTTCTTCCCAGAATTTCGAATCGACTTTCGTCGCCCACATAACTTGCACAGGTTGCACTGATCACAGAGTACCGACTCTTACTACAACTGGCTTCGATATCCCGTAGTATATCCTGTAAGGGTCTCACTTGACAAGTGGGCCCGGTTTGGGAGCGACGAGCACCAGCGACGAGCCCGCCGGACATTGCTTGTTTAGCATGAGTACGCCCACAGAATTCGTAGACAACGCGCCCATCATCGTAGCAAGGCCGTGTACACCCTGGGAGGCCGCACAGCACAGGTTTACTCTCCTTGGCGCCCATCCCGAGGACCGCAGCCTGCGGTCTCGACGCAGGTCTTCCCTCTCTTCGGCGCAATGCGCGAATGCACACGATACGCATGTGCTCCGAGGCAAAATAGATATGCCGACGGGACCGTTGATGCCGGCCAATCAAAACTCACGGTAGGTTTGATAGATTTGATTTTTTTTTGGGCTCATGAGATGATCTTGGCTGCCTCTCTCGTCCGCTTCCACTCTTTCGGCGTGTAAAGGCAGGGCTTGGACGAATGCTCAAGGGGACTGAGAAACCAGGCGATAGACAAAAGAGGGCAGTGAAGCGTGAGGCTTCTCTCATCAACACGGGTCTCTTCAGGTACAAGTACACATACTGCGGTAGCCGACAGGTCTACAACTGTAGACTTGATTGCTGTAGGGTCAGTCAAGGACATCTCTCTTTGGTCCGGGGCAATAATATCATGTCGTCTCTGTTGTTCCTACCGAGTAGTGGGTTCGGCAACTATAATAGCTGTCGCCTATCGGCCCCCAACTACATAATACCATCAACTACAGTTGCCGAGAAGACTACCACCACACGTAGTACACAGAAGGCGTTAGCAGCACATATTGTAGTCATTCGCCAAATCCGCTGCTGAGGTTTTCACGTTGTCTCGTCTGCAATCCACCTGATTTAGAGTTTTGATTTGAAACTGCTGTGGACTTCATCTATCCCGGCTCGGCGCAATTGTGTCTATAATTCCAGCACACCCAGGCCCAGGCTCCTGTAGCAGCACATAGCAAAAGAGACAGCAAGCTGGTGCGAAAGAAACCCGTCCGCCTGCACTCGTGTACCAGGCTGGGAAGGGCAACGGACGCCCCGCAGCACACATCTATTGACTCATAATGGTTCTTGTTCGACCCTGTTGAAAACCAATCTAGCGCTGTGACCCATAGAACCCACTGCTTGTATTCGGTGCAGAGCTGTTGTACGGAATCGGAAAACGGCAGAAAGTTTTCCGTTGCTCTAACTTCATAGCGAATTTATCAACATCGATCGTGTCATTACCCACGAGTTACGACCCACAGCCACGTCCGCAGTACAGATTCTAGAAGATTTAAAGACATAGCTTTGTGACTCCGACAGGCCGTTGAGTGAACGAGGATTTCTCGGATGCTGGCTCAACCGCAGAATATGTATCTAGTCTATACGCTTCGTTCAGGTGGTTACAAGTAGTTGAGATATCAATTGAAGGATTTGGTCAACAAGTTCAGCCTATGATTCTTGGCTCACAACTGCGATGGACCAACTTTCTCTGCTCGGGGCTTCATGTATTTGCCAGAGAACGTCCCAGCAAAGCAAGCAACTTGTACATCTGGCATGTTTTCGTTTTACAGTAATCTCCGACAGGCCTCTGAAAATTGCTACATCGCCTGCGAGAGAACGTTTGTAAGTTCTAAATCTTTCGGAGTTTGATGGAATACATGCAAGTTTGGTGTCGAACTCCCCCCCAACAAACGCGACTTGTCCCACCTTCACACGGAAAAGGCGCGACAAATTTAAGGTAGATGATTTTCCCCTGCGTATGATACATTCATGAATAAGATACGCTCGTTGAATGCACTTTGTGTGCTCTTCGGGTCGTTTGCTGCTGAACCTGAATCATCTCCACTGACCACCTGCAGGAGCAAGCAATCAATCCTTGGACAATAATGCGCATCTAGCCGATCCGTATATACCAGGAATACCACATTCCACATGATGATTACCCTACGCGAACGTATTCCCCTGGTATTTATTTGCAATCACTACCGAAAGGAACAAAACATAGATGACAACGAAGGAAGCCCAAGCACTGGCAGAGCAGGGGCAACGCCTGCGACAGGATGGAAAACTGGCCGAAGCTGAGCACGTGCTGAAAAGGTCTCTGGGGATCTTGGAGGCAAGGCGAGGTCGGGAAGGATGTACGGGGATGACCATGGCATTATCCGAACTGAGTTCTTGTCTGGGAGGGCGGGAGGAGGAGATGGAGCGTATCGCCAAGCGCTGCCTTACAATCCAGGAGGCCGACCTGGGTCCGGAGAGCGTGCAAGTAGCCGAAACGCTCCTCGTGATAGGCGGATGCCTTTCGCACCCACACCAGGCGGAGGAAGGAGAACGCGTGGCCAGGCGCTGTGTGGAGATCCAGGAGGTCCATTATGGAAGAACGTCTGCGATGTTGGTCCCCGCCTTAAACCTGCTGGGTTCAGCCCTTTCGCGACGATGTGGAAAGCTGGAAGAGGCCGAGGGTATCCTGAGGCGCAGTCTAACAATGGTCGATGAGACCAACCGGGCTGTTGACCCCAGCAAACTGAACGAGATGCAGTATCGATTCCTCCAAGGCAAGGTAGGCACCACGGTGTACACCCTGGGTGCCTGCCAGCTGCGAGCAGGGAAACTCGAGGAGGCCGAGGGTACTCTGAGGCGCGGTTTGGCAACCCATGAGACCGTGCTTGGCCAAGAAAAGGTCGTGGCAGTTAGCATGGTGAGCCCCGGGAATGAAAACCTTCGACGGACGTACCCATATGTGCTGCACGACCTGGGTACATGCCTTCTGCGGGCAGGAAAATTCGAGGAGGTGGAGGACTTGCTGAGGCGCGGTCTTGCAATTCATGAGGTCGACTGGAATCATGACGGTGTTGAGGCCGCCAACACCTTGTTCGACCTAGCTTCGTACCTTCGACAAACAGGGGAGTTGAAGGAGGCAGAGCAGTCGCTCCTGAGCTGCCTATCAATTCGAGAGGCCAAGCTTGGTCCAGAGGATATTATGGTGGGCAACGCACTGCTCGAACTAGGGATGTGTCTTGGAGAGGCAAACCAGTTGGTGAACGCGGAAGACGCTCTGAGGCACTCTTTGAAAATCTACGAGGCATGCGCAGGCGCAGACAATCAAATGATACCCTGCGTGTTGAACCCGCTGGCCGGATGCCTCATTCAAACCGGAAAGGGGGACGAAGCAGAGTCCATGATGAGGCGCTCTCTTGCGAATCAAGAGGTCCATGTGGGTCGAGATCACAAAGACGTAGCCTACGCTCTGCATCTGTTAGGGGTGTTCCTTCGGCAGAGAGGTAAACTGGAGGAAGCTGATGGCTTGTTGAGGCGCTGCATGGCCATCTACGAGACTAAGACGGGAACTGAGCATCTTGGCATGATGACCAGCACACGGCTCGAGCTAGACCTATGTCTACGGCTCGAAGGAGAATTGAAGGTGCGTACGGCTATGGCGCAGAGACAAGAAACCCGTTTCCAACCAACGGGTGTGAGGTCTCCAGAAGGGGGTGAAACTAAATGCACAGTATGGCTCAGTCGGCCATTTCGATTGGTGTGAAGGCCAACACAAAATCTCAAGCCATTGCGCTGGCGCGAACCATTTGGTGAGTCTATTGCTTCCCTGGGAATATGAGAGATGGCGTCTAACGCCTCTCGTTCACGTGAGATGGAGAACTCAAGCTTGGCCGAGCATGGGCGGTATGACGCCACAGTCGGAACCCTGGACGTGCCAAGCGCCAGAAAACCGTCGCCATGACAAACGTTCCAATGCAATCACACGTTAACCCGAATATCATGGTGTGATGGTGCTGATTTGTGCATATCAACAAATGTCCACCCTGTTGTCCGCAACGCTGGTGTACAGGGTTGGGGCAGGAACGAGGTGCCTGTTGGGAGCAGCAGCAGTACCTTGCGAATGCTTGACAACAGCGACTGGCAGTACGAGAACCTCTGTGATATGTTCCACACCCGGTGGCTCAAGCCTCAGCCGGCACGTGGCGTTTCGGTCGTGCGCATCTTCAGCATCCAGGTGCAAGTGCCCCTATTCAGCGGGAAATGGACATCCTTGAAGAAGCGCCTGTCATATCCGATAGCACACCCGATAGGCGTTGTTAGGCACCAGGACGTTCGCTAGCCTACGTCTTGGACAGCCAGGAAGTGACGGGCGCTCTTGGGAGTGGGTCGGTGGACGACCAATGATCCTCTTTCAACGTGCCTCAACGCGCCCCACCGGCAGACTCACATGGACGTCCTTTCAACAAAACCTCCCTTAGCGTGCTACAGTTTATAAGCTTTATCCATGGTCGCTGTCGTACACGAAACAAACTGCTTGTGTATTTAGTTTGCGTGTTCAACATTTCAGATACCGGCGTTTTGCACTCAATCGTTACTACGTTATTACTCTGGAAGACCAGATTTACCGCGCCTCTCCCTCCCTTTCCGCCGCAAGATGCCTCCTAAAGCCCGTGACAAGCACGAACAGTACAAGCGAAATGTTGTGGTCAATCTGCGCCAGCGCTTTCACGGCACCTCCTGCAACGCAGGGTGCAACTTCATGATCGACCCACAGGTGAAGAGCTGGCTATATCCTACAGTAGGACCGTAAACGTAAGCTCCTGTGAACACCTGCTTCCAGTGCTCACTCACTTTTCCTAATCGGTTCGAACAGCCCTCTCTAGCATCCATCGTCTCGGACCGTTTCTGTAAGCTGATATTTGTTCATGCACAGCTCACCCGTCGACCTCGTCCGCTCGTCCGATTACTGACCTTGCCTTGCGTCGCCGCAAAATGCAAAATGGTGAACCGTTTCGAAAAACGTGTAGGGAGCAACAGCCCCGTGCGGGCTGAGCAGCTGTAGCGTCTGCAACATCTGCATGCTGGGCTTCAACCTCGGAAAGAACGTCGCCCGTACTGCCCGGGCAACCCGTTTCCCGCTTCGGTACGGGCCGGGCGTCTACTTAAGCAGCGTGTCCGGCAAGGCAAACGACTACGCCGGGCGCTCGGCCAAGGTGCGCGCTTGGTGATAGCGGAGGGTCCTCGAACTAAGTGTTTGTACAGCTTGCTCGATAGCAAAACACGTTGCTTCGACGACGGAACCTTGCAATATTACACATCATCCATATTTGTTTTATGTGGCCGAATTCCCCCGGAGGGGTGTCCTCTACCACAGCAGCAAGTCGCTCTTGACCCAATCACGGCCTGGCAAAGGAAGAGACGTGACAAAATACCGACACCGCCTGTGTTCCCGGTTGTTTGTCCCCTTGTCGAACACACGCGATCCTCATTTCCGCTTTTTCTTCATCATCACCAGACTGGCAGCGACGGGACAGAGCTGAGGTGCATGTTCGTCGCCAATGTCGCCGTGGGAAAAGCGTTCAACACCAAGAGTTCTAACCTCCCCCAAAGCGCGTGCCCTCCTTTGGGTTACCAATCTGTGGTGGGAGAGGTAAGCAATAGCCAACGAATGAAGGAGTTGAGCTTGCCCTGTAGGTACGCTACACGAATGAATGTTCTGGCGTGTATCCACATGGTATTTCAGACCTAAAGTTTCGGCTGAGACACAGGACTCCTAACATAGCTGAGAAACGTTTTTGCGCCCCCTCAGAGTAAAGCCCTTCTCTCGCCCCCCGCTGTCTTACCAAATACGGCGTGGTTGTCAAGTCTGTAGCGCTTCCTTCCCCGCGCTTATCTCGGATCCGTGGGGGTCGGGGCAACGCTACCCCTACCTAGACCGAGCAGCATGTGTTGCCTGGTTGAATAAGGCGTCTACTGGTGCTGTATAGTAGTTACTCAACAAACTATGTAAGAATTGATAATAGCATCGACATAAGAAAGTATTGATCGGCAATAAACGATATGCTCGGCCTGGTCTCCAACGTGAAGTGGAAACCCACGCATGGCGAGGGCACCGAAGACCCTGAGCAGGTCAAGCCATGATAGTTGCGCTCGTGGACGTTTCCCGCCGATCCAGCTTGTTGTGGCAGAAATTCTAGCGTCAGGTGTGGGCTACGTCAAATGCCGCTGGTGTTATCACTGCCAATTATGATATTGGTTGGAATGCATGTCTTGCTTCTCGTTTATCATGCAAATCCCTTGATAGGGGACACGACAGCCGATGCCTAAGTACGTTGTCCCCCGTGCTACCTTGGTCGTTGTCTGGTCAGGTGGGCCAAGCGCTTAACTTCGACGAGGTCGTGGTGTACAAGGAAGCGGCCGTTCTGCCCACGCACCTCATCGTGTATGCTCTGCGCCACTAATCGCTAGGCCGAAGTTGTTTGTGAGGGGTTGTGTACCCGTTGTCTTGACTTCAGACGAACACCAATATTGTCGTGGCGGCCGCGAGTGCAAGCGGTGTTCATTCCCGCACCTTGCAAGGGTTTAGGTGCTCTCGGGAGTGGCCTGCAAACGCCGAACGGCCACAGCGAACACAAGGTCGTATTTTCCGACCGTGCAGGTAGACGCAAATGGTAGCAGATGGGCAATTTTGAATAGCCTCGACCGGGAGTGGGATTCTGAGAAGGCGCGGTGGGATGGGATGGCAGCATAATGTTTTGCGAGCAGCGGTAGTCAGCCCGCAGAAGGTGTCACAGCTTTGAGACGGGCTGTGGTAGAATACGTAGGGACGGCAGCGTACTCTCTGCAGTTAGGAGGACGCGGCTCGCCTCTTCAACTGTCAGGTACTGCGGTCGGCAATGGATGACACGTTTCGAAAAAAACGGCGTCCATGATTTTGATGCCGTGAGCGATCGTGCTAAGTTATTATTTCTCACGACGTCATTTATATCTCCGTGGCCTTTCGAGGGCAGGCTCGCAACGTGGCACATCCCTGCGGGAAACTAGCCGCTTCGGTGTCCCCACGCGTCTCTGTTCCTACAACCACCAGTCGAGCTAGTCTCATGTTCCAACCAGTTTCAACTTTACATTTTTTCGCATCGGTTGCCAGATACACACGTGCCAGAGCCATTGTGCGGTACTCGCGATGGTGTGCAAACACACTGAAGACAAACAAGACCACATTCAATGAAACTCTCAAACACTATTGGTAGATTTTGAGCATCCCCTCGTGTCGTGAATGACGAGGAACCAAGAAGCCTCAAAGGAAAACCACGGGCCTTGCGCCCGTGGCCCATGGGCCGTTCCCGGTGACCAGGAGCTGCTACAATACTCCAAAACAGTGTCCACTTCGCAAGTTCAACGCCACTGAACATACCTACATTGAATACGGCATTCCGAAATTATCGTCTCACCACTGCATGTAGCAAATATGGCGACACACATAGATAGTTTTTGCACCCTCCCCCGAAAACCTCAACTGTAGCCGCTCAACTGTAGCCGCACAAAATTCACACCTACACGAGCATCGACAGGTGACATACAAGCTATTAGTTCGACGAAAGAAAAGCTCGCAGAAGAAGTAGCATCGCGCAGCAAGCAGCTACCTCCACATAGAAAGGAAATCTAAGCGCCAATCAGGGAGTATTCCGCGCCAGGACGGGTGAGCTCGACACAATGATTAGGATTGCTATTCGAAAATCAAACAGACTAGTTTGTGCGAAGCCCGCGAGCTAAACATTGTTGGCCGCCGACAATATCCGAAAAGGCCACCACGAGCAATCTTCGTTCAGGGCAGAGCGTATACGATCAGATAGGAGGGAATCGCCGCTTCGTTCTTGTATACCACCAGCTCGTCATGATTTAGTCCGCCTCCCGCCTGATGGTCAATAAAAGGGTGGTGAGAGGAGCCCCAGAGAGAGACGTGCGGCCTTATCAGGTGATGATATAGGAAAACGGTCGCCCGTACGCCATACAATTCTACGGGTTGTTGGCTGTCTCTGTGTTCAGACCATACATTGGGACGGTGACAACGAAATTGCTTGTCCATTCAAGGAAGTGCAAGATTGGGCGTGCCCCCCCCAGCCATTCTTACCATTCTGTCTCACGATGCCACAGTGAGCGAGTCGTCGAGATTGGGTGTCACTAACGCGGCTAGTCTGATCAGTAAATCGACTTCTCCTATATACACCAAGACAATGCTCCTTCCCGAAATAGCTTGCCGATGAAGTATAGAACAGGGTTCCGAGTTGCTGCCTCCGTGATACAGTACTTGCTGTGAGTGGGAAGAAAACCGACTGGATACTAGGCTTTTTTACCTTTGCACACATGACCGTAAGCGGACGCAGTAGGTTAAAATGGGCGGTGAACGATCGGCGCTGGAGGACACGACGCAACAAGTCGTACGCATGGTGGTAGAGATTTTTTTGGTCATTTTTTTTTTTTCCCCCTGTTTTGTGGCCCTCAAGGAAAAGAAGTGGAAGAAATCCACTGCCCATTCGCATCTGCCACAGGTCTATGCGTTGTCAAGCGATGCCGGTTATGCATGTGCATCTGGATGTGTAACTTGGGAGGCTGCGTACAGTATTGTAGAAAATAGCGCCTATTGGGGCTGGATTAAGGGCACAACCTCCAAAATCCCCGCCGACAAGTAGGTGCGCTGTCAAGTATCTGCCATGCTCACGTCGGACACTCAAACGTGCCGACGGGGGGCCGGGGGGTTGTAGTAGAATATAGCGGGCCCCCCGTGCCCCGCAAAACAACGCCCTAGCGGTCGCAGAAAGCAACTGCGTTCCACCCGGGCACCGCAACATGTCTGCTGAGTTCACCAGGCAGCCAAGTAATTGTTGATGCCGAGTTCAGACCGCCACCGCGCGTCAGATGGCATCGGACTCGAGATTGTGATGGAGGTTAAAACAGTTTCGTTCAGCATCAACGTCTCCCACCCCCGTAAAAAACCTATGTGGCTCTTTTCCCTGTTTTTTTGCCTTCTCTGCTCTTTCCCTATATGCGCACTACTTCTGCTCATACCGCAACCTTGATCTAAAAAAGTCATGATCATTACTACTGCGAAAAGATGGGGAACCAAGGAAAAAAAAAACACCACAACAAAAGCCAAGAAGCCAAACAGACTAGGAGCAGACCACACGATGGTGCTTGTAAAGGATTTTACGGAGATTGAACGGAATCAGCCCTCCTCATGTCTCTTTCAGCGGCACCACCCGCAAGCACTCGCGCCAAATAACCACTAAACATTCGCAAGAGAACACAAAAACCATCCATGGCAGGCTTTCTTCTTTTCGCCTCTCTTTGTGTCGTTCACAGCGGGGCGTGTTGCGCAGCGGATACTTGGAATTCAACACGTACGGTGCGTTGTTGCCGTGATCGTTGAGGTAGTACATTCTTCCTATTTCGTCTTTATGAGACTCTAATACCAGCCAGCTAGGCAGCAAGCAAGCAACAGCAGCAGCATCAGCAGCATGTCTCTAGGTTAAGGTACGTGCGATCTCTCTCTCCTCCCTCCCTCTCTTCCCTAACAGCAAACATCAACTTCCCATCCGCCCCAACCCCAATCCTTTCGCCCCTAACAAAACAACCCAGGGGCCCTCATGGTTTCTGTGTGCTACTGTACCAATGCCGACGTGCCGTGAAGATGCGAAGGCCAGGCGACGCCAGGAAGCATCTTCGCGACGTGTTTTTAGCGCCGGTCGCCTGTATCACAACACAACACCTTCCACCCATGAGAAGACTCGGTGCTTCCCCCTCCAGAAAAATGAACCAACCCCCCCACCCCCGTTGCCTCTACCGCCTGATCTACCGGCATCGCTGGAACAAATAAAGGGCGGCTTACTTGTCTCGTTCCAGCAATAAATGATGGAACAAAAAATACCCAACAAAGAAGAGAAGACCCAAGCGGAGTGCGATAATATAAAATATATATGTACGGACGCCTATCTCCATACAAATACATGCATGCACACACGGAAAGAAAAAAAAGCTAAACAAAAAAACAGCAGTATTTTGTTTTGCGCAAACGAAACCAACAAACGGCCCCTTACATTCTACATACACCAACACTACAGCAGTAGCGAACACGAGAAACGCCCCCCCTCCCCCCCCTCACCCCCAAGCACATGCGTACGTTGTTGTCACACAGACGAGCAGAAGAAGCAAAGAGAAAAACGAGACCAAGGCAAAGAAAGGGTGAGAATAGATAAGGTGGGGGCCATCGACGGCACTGTAGGTGCAGCCTTTCCCCCCAACACTGTACAGCCCAGAACCACCGCACATCGTACTAGCCCCCAACCAGTGGCCTGACACACAACCCAGCTACAGCAACCTCGCCGGTACTTGGCCGGTACTTCTGTCTCCGACCCGTGAGGAGGCGGGGCGATGACACCGGTTTTGCCCCGAACCGCCTGATGGGGAAACAAAATCCGCCCCCTCAAAGCGGGGACGCACATCAGAGGTGTCCATCCTCTATCCGCGCACCGTCACTCCTCGCCCGCCGCCCCTCTCTCGACAACAGCGTGTACGCCAAACAGCAAGTAGTCAATAGCTAGCTTGCAGCTTGAACGCTCCTCACACCCCTCTTCCACTGGAGCCGCTGCTGATGCTGTAAGGTTGACGTGTTGATTCTTTCTGTCGTTTATTTTATTTTATTTTTTTCTCGGGTCGTGTATGTTCATGTTCTGTCGCCCCCGTCTCCATCCTCCTCGTACTTGCCAACCGCGCCATCGGTCTCCCCCCTTGCCGCCATGTGACTCGCGAGAGCGTCTTGGAAGGCCAGAGAGAGAGGGCGTCCAAACAAATAAAGCAAAGACAAAAGAGCAGAGAAATTGGGGAAAACAAACTAATACGGTAGGCCATTCGGATCCTAATGTGATCGTCCCAATGATCACTATATTCCCAAAGAGAGTGGTACCGTGGGTGACACAAGATACCACAACCCGGTGGACCGATTTTCAAAGCTCGATTTTCCCATAGCACAAGAGTCGAAGCGCCGCGAACGGTGGCATTGAAGCCGTCTCGTCGACAGCTTTCCGAAGACGTGTCGGATCATTCTCTTCACCATTGAGTAGTCAGGCTTCGAAAATATGTCAAGGGGGTGTGGCATCTTGTGTCACCCACGGTATACAACACTAACAAAAACACAATAGAGAGAGACGCGGCAACTACAGCAGCAACGACACACACACACACACACACCTGCTCCACCGTCCTTCCACACCGTCATGGCTTCGCGGTACCGCAGAGTGTCATCGTGGGCCTTGGTCTGGTAAGGAAGTTTCTCCTCGTCGGACATGCGGTTCCACTCCTGATGAAAAAAGCCAACAAGGAAACGAAAGAGAACAGAACACTTCAAGAAGAAGAAAAACAAGGAGCTCTTCACAGTAAACAATTGTTACAGGTGTGCCAGAGGTCGTAGCACCAGTTCTTCCTCTTGTCTCTTCTTTCTCACCTGTCCCAGCATCTTGGACATGTCCATGTTCTTCGCCTCGGGGTAGGTCTCGCGCAGTCGCGGCCGCATGGACTGGCTGAAGTGCAGGAAGGCGCTCATGGCGCGTTTCGGGGCGAGCGGGTCCTTCTTCGCCCTCTTGTTGGGGACCTTGAGGGGGCCGTCGTAGACCGACAGCTCCTGCTCATAACTGACAATGCAAATTAACAAGCGGGTGGGGGGGGGGGGGGGGGGGGCATGTTGAAGGGACCGGTGGAAAATCTGTCATAGAGTGCAGCAGTATGGGGGTGCCTGCGGTAGGTGGTGGTTCGAGTTGACGAGGCAGGGACAGCTGTTTTCCGGTGGTTGTGGCCGTGATGGTGGCGGAAACATTGCCGGTTGATTGTCGTGGTGGCGCCGGTAGTGTATTTGCCCAGTTGGACAAAGCCTGGGAGACAAATCGTGATCGTCGGTTGCAGCACAGATTCTCTGCACCAGGATTAGTACATGAAAGGTGCACAGCGCATTTTCCGCCAGCACTTGGAGGTGAGGTGACGTGTAGTATAGCTCAACACTCTCTCGAAAAATGGGTGTGGTCGGGGAAATGGAAAGACAGCTGTAGTCTTGACGCGGAACGAGGCAAAGCGTCGAACTCGCAACCTCAAATCGCCCACGCGCACCCGCGTCGCCCCCTTCTCGCCAACTGCTGTTTCTTTACTGCCCCCCTCTTCTCCCTTTCTCGTTCCTCCTCTTGAGGTCAGCGCACTCCCCGCCCCGCCTAATCCATGCAACGAAGCTCGCTCTCTTTCATCTCACCATCACTCATCTCCTATCTCTCAGGACCCTCCTCCCCCCCCCCCCCGTCTACCTCCATCTCCACCTACGCTCTTTCTCACCGGTCCTTGTCTTGCGCGGCCTTAGCCGTCCACTCCTCCTTGTCGGTCTCGCTCAGCTCCCTCCACTTGGCCGCGATGCCCTTCATCACCTCCGTTACCCTGACGTCACAGCACCAGCCGTACATAGCAGCAAAATATACCCGTTAACGACAAGCCCAATACACGGCAAGTTCTCTCACAGCAGCACCCCAGGCCAAGAGTCCGACCAAGCTGGTCCAGATGCGGGCACAGCACAAGAAGGGGAGTGTACCTTTGGCCGCCCTTTGTTTTTTCTAATCATGAGAAGCGCAACCGATCGGGCACAAACCGGGGTTGCCCTAGCGGGAACCGGACCCTCGCAATGCCCCGCGCAAGAGGTTCCACTGCTGTGGTATGCATAGCAAAGATACCAAAAAGGCTGCCGGATACCGTATATGACACAAGATAACACACCCCCTGGACCGATTTTCAAAGCTCGATTACTCCACGACGAAGAGGATGCATAAATGAAACAATACGTTTTCGAACAGCTCTCGACGAGACGGTTCCAACGCCGCCGTTTTCGGCGCTGTGACTCTTCCTGCTGTTGAGAAATCGAGCTTTGAAAATCGGCCAAGGGAGTGTGTTATCTTGTGTTATATACGGTAGTCTCGAGCTACATGATCCACAGCCGCCGAGGCAGCAGCAACAGCAGCAGTTGCGTGGTGAGCATAAAACAAGACACGGAAGGATCGGAGCTCTCAACTCAGAGAGGTAGATTTCGCATGGAAACTTCGCACGACGACACCGTTCACGAAACGGCATGATACTGCTGTACATAACCGACCGAGAGCAAAGGCCACACCAAAAACCACCCACACGTCCTGCAAAAAGCTTCTTAGCGACGGTGGCCACGCGGTGGTATTGCTCCCCCTCCCCCCTAGCAAATACACCACACATGGCACCAGCGAGAGGTTGGGCATGGCGAACGACCACCACACGGGTACACAATTAATAAGTAACGATCGAATTGCCTCGCGAAGGCCGGCCATGACAACGGAAAAAGTTACTGCTGGGCTGCCGAGTGCGTGCGGCTTTGAGGGCCACCAAAAGTCTCCCGTCACGAGCGAGGGCGTAAATTGCACTGCCATCAAAGCGCGTGTACAGCAGCAGAATCCCTTTGCTTCCTCCCCACCCGTTTGGGGTTGCAGCGGGACATGAGCTCTCGGGCAAACCGGCTCTCCAACAAAAGTATAACGACTTTTGTGGGGTCGCATGTCGCTCGTACATAGCGTGAGCGAATCATCATCCAACGCCGACTTTTCAACTTCCCGCAAACACCATCGGGGTCGTGCCCGTCGATGGAAAGAGACAACGACACAGCTTCCTGCCCAACCTCAACCCCGTACGTACCGCCGAGCACAGCAGCAGTTGAGACAGTACGTTTACCTGTGGGTTCGCGAAGACCCCGCTTGCTGCAAGAGACACAGCAGACTTCCAATAATCTTCAACGCGCACAAGCGCACACCGACAGCCGCACAACAAGCGTTACAGCGCCACGACACCATGCACTACTGCTGCTCTGCTGCACCTTTTCTTATGCACAAGAGAGGCAGGTAGGAAGGTAGCCGACCAACGCACCGAGCCCAGCTCAGAGACAGCAGCATCAGACGGGAAACCGCTAAAACTTTGAAGTACGTAACACCCGTTGACATCGAACGTTTAGGTAGCTACCATTAACTCACTTGGAGCCTTCTGGCAAGGCGTTCTTGACCTCCTCCCTCGCCTCCATGGAGAAGAGCACGTAGGCGCTGCGGCCCCTGCGCGGGGCGTCGGGGGCCTTCTTGTACGCCCGCTTCTTGCGGCGCTTGCTGCTGCCGGGGGCGGCGCCGCCGGCCGCGCCTCCCTCAGAGCCGTCGTCGTAGTGGCCCTGGTCAAGCCCTCCGTCCCCATCGTACGCCACGTGCTCCTCCCCTTCGTACTGCATACTTTCGTCAGCCTAATTAGATAGAGAGTGCCCCCCTGTGTTGTTGCTTCTTCTCTTCCTGTTGCAGCACCAGTCGTTCGGCAGGAAACGGCTAGTGAGTCATGTGCCCCCCCCCCCCCAGGCAAGGGTTTTGGCTGTGTGCTTGGAGACGCGTGGAATGCAATGCGTGAAAACAACCACGAGAAACAACAACGGACAGGCATGCGCGTGTGTTGTAGCTATTTTTTTCTGGCCCCACGACACGTTCCATCCCAAACTAATTTCGGCGGGGGAACGCGTTGTGGTGGTGGGGTGAAGCCTAACGGCAGAGAGATCATCGGGACCGGATATATCCCCATAGTACAAGTACAACAGAGGAAGGGGTATCTGGGGGGTACATGGACGGGCGGTAAAAAAACAGGCACAAAACAGAAGCGGGCTGCGGAAAAAGGGTGGGGTAGCCGTCACGAAAGAGCAACAACGACCGATTCCAAGCTTGAGGTTTGCAAAGCCAGATCCGGCCCAACAACAACGCCACGCATGCTTGCCCCGCTGCTGGATCAACGACCTCGACCTCCTGCCCCGCCCGCGGGCGCCGCGCTTCCCGTTGTACGGTATACCCATTGCGGACCCTTTCACGTGGGCATGCCTATCCCCGCTGCTGTGTGTCGGGTAAAGACAGGCTGGGGGGCATAATCGCAGTTCGATTTTCGTGTCGTTGAGGTGGCGGTGTTGTGGGCACGCGTTCCTCGCCTGTTCCGGCGCGAGAGCGCGCCCTTTCAGGGCGGAATAAAAAAAAAGGGGCACGATGAGGCGCGCGCGCAAACGGATCCCGGCCCTCTGCCTCTAGTAGTCAGTGGGGCTGTCTAACGGGCAGTCACTGGGCGAGATCCTTGTTGTTTACCCTCCCCAAAGTTTTTTTTTGGCTACTGCGGCGCTCTCTCCAACAGAGAGTAAAAGGGCAGCTGCCCGTCGAGCGGGCTGGTGTGACCACCCCAAGCGCACGACCGGCCCAAAACTCACAGGTAAGTGCCACGGATCGAGGGTCGGCGGAGGAAGCTCGGTCTTGCCCGCGTCGGGTGTCGGTGGCGGAAAGCTGGCCGGGGGCTGTTTGGTCGTCTGTCTTTCTCTGTGGGCTCGGTCTCTCTCTTGAGTTTAGTAGGGCGAGTGCGCGGCTACTCTGAGAGCCAGAGAGAAGGTCGGGGGGCACGGGATCTGTCCAACAAGAGGCAAAAATCATGGAACAACACTACCTTCACCACAGTAGTGGATAAATCCCGCCGCGTTTTTTCTTCAGTCTCACAACAATGTCTCGTCGATGTCTCACAACATCAAGGGCACCGATTGTCGGTGCTTCGGGCTTGTCAAGCGCTTGGGCAGCGGCAAAGCAACAAGAGCTGCAACCCGCTATACGGAAGCACAAAGAGTTGTCACCCACCCACACCCCTGGCGTTGGAATCGAACACCTCGGTGCGTGGAGCGCGTGCCGGCCGGCGGTCTTGGTGGCATCCGACAAGTCTTCGCCGAGCTTCGAGCACAACAAACCCTCTTTGCCCCGGCAGCCTTGGAGCGTCCGCGAGCACACAGAGCTGCGGTGGCGTGGCCGGAGGAGAGCTACTACTGTTACTCCCGCCGTAAAACGACACGAGGAACGATCGGGTGTAAGGCTTAGCTCCCTTGCTGCTGCACCTACGCAACCATGTCGACACTCGCCGCCGCTCGTGCGGACAACATGTACTACCCCCCGGAGTGGAGGCCGGAGTATGGGGGCATCTCCAAGTTCCAGGGCTCGAACGGCCACAACCAGTACGAGAAGTACGGCAAGATTAGGTTCGAGCTGCCGGATCACGGATGGTGCCTCGGCTGTGGGCGGCACATCGGCAGGGTGAGGGTTGAAATCGGTCTTTATTTTGGCTCCTCCTACTACAGCAGGTGACCTGCTGCTGTCGTGAAGCTTTCAATATTCGACAAGAAAAGCGAAGGACGACGGCCCTCTTGTATGCTAGTACCCTTGTTGCTTTGTTTTTGACGTTTGAGCTGTGGTGTCAGCTTATGCCCCTGCTGCTGGGGAGGTTTCGGCTGGCTTCTCGTCAGTCCTCCCTGAGTTGCAACACTGGCATTGCCGCCAACAATTACGAGAAATGTGGAGAGCATCTCAAAGCATTGTTTTTTTCAACGTTTTTCATCTGAATATGTGCAGTGTACTATGTAGCTGTATACGCAGTGACGCGTCGGCGTGGGCTACCGCAGGACGTGTTGGTCTGCGAACGGATGCACTTGGAAGTATCGATGAGTTCGTGGTTCTAGATTATACGTACTGTAACGGCTGAAGAGGACATGCTCGATAAAGGGCACAGCGAGTTTTGATTGGAAGACAACCGCAGGGGCTGTGCTAAGAAACGCTCACAACACTCGAGTAGCTCTCCCCTAGTCGAGCGGGACACACGTGTGCTGCGATTTTCGTTGAATCGGCCGTCCGTTCCGTACCCTCAAGACCCACCAATCTGAAAAAATGAGCTCTGTGAACCATGCGCTAGCCTCCCCTACGTCTGATACCAGGTCGTACTGCTGTATGGTAAACACACAACGTTTCCCCCTTCCCACACGTCCATGGGTTGTCCCTCGGAACCACAATGCCCCTTGCTTGAACGAAAAAATGCACCACTCGCTGCCGGCACAACGTACAGGGAACACGGTTCAACGCGACCAAGGACCAGGCGGGCACCTACTACAGCACCAAGATCTGGCAGTTCTCCATGAAGTGCCCCTCGTGCAGCAACGTGATGGTCATCAAGACCGACCCCAAGAACACCGGCTACGAGTACGTGGAGGGCATCCGCAAGAAGGACATGGAGTTCGACCCAGAGGAGGCGGAGACGCAACGCGTGCAGGACAGCGAAGTCTCGAAGCAACTCGCAGGTATGCGTGTCTTTGTTATTAGCATCGACCGCGCTAACCGGCTGACCAATGACAATACGTCTCAAGTGTATATGTTTCGTTAGCATTGGAAACGGTAACCGGTCGACAAATGACACTGACGATCCGAGGCTCCCCGTGGCAGGGCGGAGGCGGAGGAGACGGAAAAAAAATCAGGGTTCCGAGCACTTTGCAAGAGAAGGCGATTCAGCACCAAATGATTCTGTTAGTGGCGGTGATGCCAATTGACCATTCTCTCTGTCAGACGTTTCTTCCGCTCCACAAAGGGGTGTTGCTTGTTGCTTGACGCTCGCCTGTGCGCGTCTTGTTGTGACCACGCTAACCTGCTTACCTGTGAAGATACGCAAACCTTCGCGCTACAGTAAATGCCATGGAACTGGGTGTGTGTGCCATGCGCGTGGGCTGAACAAATGTGTTCTTGGTCTTGCCAGCACCCATCACGCTTGTCGATGGACCTCGAAGAGGTGCAACTCGTTGACGTATGTGCGCAAAAACGCAGAACTTTTGTAGATCTGGCTCTTTCCCTTCGTGAATCCAATACTTGACCTCGATATACACCCGCAAGAGACGCAATGGTTATCCACATTTTTTGACGCATTGTACAAGCATCTATGGAAGATATTCAACTTTCATGGAAGCCGTACATATTGAAGCCATATGGACGCGTGTGGGTCGGTTTCTGGCGCCAGCTTCCATAGCGCTTCCATGCAAGCTGTCAACAACTATCATGGGAGTTGATCATGAAAGCCGTTGGTACAAACCGCTGGTTGCTTTCGTGGACAATCCTAGCCCTAACCCTAACTTTAAGTCACATTTTCAACTTCCACGATAGCCCGACGAGCTTTCATGAAAGTCAGAACTTCCATGAACGTTCGTCCCTCGACATACCTAAGTCCCCGGCCATGATCCAGGCACAACAATTTGTCCATTATTTACACAGCACCAAGGTTCACTCTTCTGGGGGTACCGTATGTAGGGTGGTTCTTCCAAACTCCAAAAACACCGACGAACCCCGTCTCCAGGTGCAGGTGGGTGTTGCTCGAATAATGTTTTATTTTCCTTCGTTGTCGCTGTATGCTTCAAAACGCGGATAAACTTGATTGCGTTCGCGTTGGTTGGTGTTGTTCGCCGATTTCGAGTATCTATCTCAACGGATTTGAATAGATCTCGCATTTTCTTTCAGCTTTTTCTTAGATGTGCTCCCGAAGTTGATGGAGTTCCCGATCAAAAACCGCGTTCTTCATACACAAGTCCCGGCACAACAATTTTACAGTGCAACGAACGATTCCTCCCATCGATCCCCGTACAGCGTTTTGTTTGTTTTTCCGAGAAAAGTCTTTGTCGTGAGATATTCGACTTTTGGTTACAGCACGCATGAGAGGATGTTGAGGGCGGATCGTTGACCGCACACACGCGCGCCCGCATGCGCACACTGCTGAGGTTGCCTCTTTTGAAGAAAAAATTAGCATCATGGGGCGGCCGAAAAAGGAGTTTCTCATTTGAACGGAACGCGGCCGTCCAGCGCGTTTCATGCGCGCCAGTAGAGCCGCACTAGGTGTTCCTATGTAAATGCGCGGAATGCCAGAGGAAGCTTCGTTGGTGGTACATGGGAGTTATAGTGATGATATAAGGTTCCGCGGATCGTTTTTGCCAAGAAATGTGTCAGATTTTCTCCCCCCCCAAGATAAACTGCAAGCAACGACGTATGTAGCTCGACGAGGCGATCACGATTAGTGTTGCTTCACGTTTCTGAAATTCCTTTTGAAGTCAATGCGCAAAGCGCGAACGGGCAAATGGTTGTGCATGGACCATATTCGCATGAGAGAGCACGCAAATGTCCATGAAGTAACTTGGCCATATGTGAACGAAACCTCTCCGGAAGCCAATTGAAACTACCATCGAAGTTCAAGCTTCAAAGGAAGTGCTTTATTTACTTCCATGGAAGTCAAAGTTCTAACCAGCTTCGATGGAAGTCGATGAGATTTCCGTGGAATGATTTGCCATCATGGAAGCTACGCATAATCGTGAAAGTGGCAGATTTCATATTCAGCTAGAATGGTTTACAAGGCCCGTATTCGAAACGGCTACGCACGGTAAATGAAATTGCGTTGCCAGGCAGGGTAGAAAAAAAAACTCTTGGGCCGAAAAAACAGCCAACCAAACGGAATGTCAGGACGGGTGGAGTGGTTTTTCAGGAAACCGAAACTCCACCTTTGCCCGTTGAACTTCTTCCCAGCTGTCGTTCTTAATCCCCCCTCCCGTACTCCGCAATTGCCATGTTTCTCTCTCTTCATTCTTGTTAGTCTCACTCTAACTCCTGTCTGTCTGTCTGCCCCCCTTGGCGTCACTCTGTTTTGTCTGTCATTCGTCGTCCCCCGCCCCGGTCCGTTTCTCTGCCCAGTCGACCCGCTCTACCGGCTGGAGCACGAGCAGCGGGACAAACGTAGAGCGGCTTCGCGGAAGACCGTGCTCACGCGCCTGACGGAGCTGGCCGACGCGCACGCGCAGGACGACTACTCCTCCAACGCGCGCTTGCGGCAAACGATGCGCGCTCGAAAGAAGAAGGAGCGCGAGAGGGAGGAGGAAGCGACGGTGAGAATCGGTCAGACGGTCGCGACCTCAGAACAGGGCAACACGGAGGCAGCAGCAGCAGCAGTAGTCTGGCGAGCATCTGGTACCATGGAACACTCATGGCGATGGCCCACACGAAGAAGTGTATCCGACGCTCCTCGGGTCTTGTCGTCCCATGTCTGTTTTTTTCGTTTTTTGCTGCCGAGGATGCCCGTCGTGAACTCCAGCCCTCGATCGTGTGTCGTTCTTCCGCGGCGCCATGCGATGCCCCTTTCCAGACCCACTGGTTCGTCATGGATGCAGGCCTTAGGCCAGTACGTTAATACCCCCTTCCCGACCTTGATCTGGTATTTGATATCCATTTATAATTTCTTGCATGCAGGCGAAAGGGCTCGGGATACGCCTCGTGACCCCTAGCCCGGCCGACGCGGATGCCGCCCGGAGTGTCAAGTACCGCAGCCGGCACAAGGGCTTCAGGACTGGAGAGAAGGCCAAGATGGCGGCCATCACGGGCGAGTCCATCTTTGGGTCAGGCAGGGAGTCCTCCGAGCAAGCCCGGCGGAAAGCCGTGCTCGTTAAGGCCTCCAAGCTCGGCCTCAAGACCAGAGGCATGCGCTTGTTGCGGCCGGATCAGGGCAGCCGCTGCGGCGACGGCGAACGGGCAGCGACGCAGCGGGCGCCGTCGCGTTCTTTGGGTGCTTCTTCTTGCTCTCGAGGTTCCATAAGCGGGGCGTCCGCTTGTAGGCACTCCGAAGCACCGGACGGCAGCAGAAGCAGTAGAAGTAGCGACGGCAGCAGTATTCTGCGAGAAGATGTGAAAAAGAGACGAAGACGTCCCGAAACAGCGGGAGCACAAGGAAGAGGAGATGGAGCCCAAGGTGTCTTTGTTGGTAGTGACGCAGCGCATGGCATCGGGGTGGTGGACGGGGTTGGGGTCGTGCTTGTCGGTAAAGGCGAGAGGCCATCTAGCGCTGAAGAGCGGTCAATTAGCCAGGCAAGTAGACTCAAGGACGAGGCGGGAGTTCTCCCACCGAAGAAGAGACGGCGGAAGCACGGGACGGCTGGTGGCAATGCCGGCAACGGTGGACTGGCGGCGATCGCAAGCTTGTACTGATTTTTTTTTTAGGGGTGGGGGTGCACGCGTCTTGTGTGCAAGGGAGAAAGTTCCGGCGCCCTTGGGTTCTCCGGAAAAATGAAAATTCTTTTTCTACCGCAACTGTGGCATCACCATTACGCGTAGACGGTCAGCTCCGCCGTGTAGCGCTCTGCTTCGTATGACATGACAGCTGTACTGCCCGTTGCGTAGCCGGGGTTATTGGTGCCTGATTTTTTTGCAGCGATGATTTACGTGTGGACATGATTTCGTCTTGCCGGCGGTGGGGGCCTACTCAACCTTGGGCACGCGCAGAGGCGGGGGACTTGCGTGGTTTAGGAACAACTGGGAATTCTTACAACAAGATGGCAAGCATCACCGCAAGTATTGCGTACACGGCTCAGAATTGCCATGCTAATTGGGTGAGTGATTGGTTGTAGACTTGATGCACAGAACAATCGAGGTAGAGTCTGCACTTTTACAGACGAAGGTGGGAGGAGCCCAATCGATTGGTTTGGTGTACATGAACATCGTTCACGTGTCCGTTGTGTCAGCGGGAAAAGGAAATCAATCTTGCCCGCCAACTACAGGCTTCTGCCACCCGGATACCATCAAGACGCGCAGAAGGTTAGGTATCTTTCTTCTTCTTCGATTCCATCAAATGCTGAGCGGTCACGACACTCTGCTCGAGTCGCCCTTCGGCCTACCTATTCTCCATTGTTCTGTACCGTGCCAAGGAGTATCCGCGTGACCATCGACATAAAGAGGCCTGTCGACGTAAACGCAAACAATCCCGCTTGGCAATTCTACGAGGTGCGGTGGGCACTCGCGTCGATCATTCCACACGCAGGGCATAAGGTGGACAAATGGACAAATACTCGCAACACATACTTGCAGGTCCGCACGCGTGTCTACGAATGGGTATTGGCACAGGTCCACAAACCACCGACAAACACCGCGTGCGAGCATACACCCGCCCAACTCGTAACACACAAATGCCAACGTAACTGGATGCAGGTAAGTAGTTTTGCTCGGTGCAGCGGAAATAACGACTACAACCGCATGTTGACGGCCCTGTCTGGTACCAAAGGGAGCGCGCTCCCTGTCGCAAGAGGTGCGTCTGGGCAAGGACTAAACCCCACCATACTTTGGCCTGTTTCACACAGTGATCTTCTCCGAAGCAACTACCGGCCTGAGCCTTGAACAGAGTAAAAGTGAAACCGCTAAAGACCGCCTTTGCTTGCCGACCGGGGCGGGGCGGGGGAGGGGCACCTATAATACCACATGAGACCTCTACCTACAGTACATATGCTTACGTACAGCATCTTTGTCTTTCCGCGTCTTTTTTTTCACGGCTAAATGTACACGGCTAAATGTACAGCTCTACCATGTAGTCAACAGTAGGGTGTGCTCGTCTCTGATCCAAGTCCTTCTTCGAAATCAAGGTGTCGCCTTAGCTTCGTGAGATTTCACGTGCCGCAGACGGAGAAAGCCGAGCCAGGCTTCACGCATGGGGGTCTTCCCGCCTTCAAAGCAAAGTCCATCTATGGTGTATCGTCAGCAAAATCGAAAATGCTACCATGTCGGTCCACAAAACCTTCACCACCACCCCCGCCGTCCGATTTTGTCGAAGCCTACATGACCTGAAGACTGTGACCGATGTCTCCAGCAATAGGTGAACCAAGCCAGTACAAGTAGTACGCAAGCTGGATTGTCTGATTATGGACCATCTCCCGCGTGTTCGTCCTGCACGTACCCCCCGCCGCATCAGTGATTCATACCTAGTCTACGTCTTTACATACAATGTTTTGTGTGGTTGATTCCCCCTCATTGTTACACACTGGGATAGAATGTTGAAGCAGATACTGCAACAACAAGCTCGTTGACTGCCCACCCCCCCTTCGTTGGTCGGAGATACTGAACATTTTTTTCGATTGCACCCTGCTTCGCTCAGCTAAACCCTTCCCCACATCGAAGCTGTGGTATCTTCGGTGTTCTTGTTCACACGGTCTGAAATCTACCGCACCATCGTACTTCGTAGTGGACAATAACCGTCAATATTGAAAAATCGCATTTGAACATGTTGGAGACATGAATAGTACGGACAAACACGCACACATTCGGCACACTACAAGTACATGTACCTGAAGACAACAAACTCTCTCTCCGCCCCCCTTCATGCTGAGAAACGAAACTAGGAATGACAAGAGTGCAGATCTATGCGTGGAAACCTTTTCCCCTACCAGGCACCCCACAAACAAACATGACGAACACCAATTCATTCAACAACACACACTCCAACTTCACCCCACTAATGGTGTCTACGACGGCGGCTTTCTACCATGCCATCACGTGCGCGACTCACTTCTGTTGATGAAGCGATGAACCGCGGGGACTCAGCGTACCTTGCCGCGATTGCTACCGCTGCCGCCGCCGGTGGCGCCGCCTCTCTTGCTGCTGCGGCTGCTGCTGCTGCCATTGCCGAGGACGCTCGAAGAGGGCGACACCATGAGTAGGGACTTCTTCTTGGACAAGGTTGCCATAGACGAAGCGGTCGCA